AGGCGGGTGGATCACGAGGTCAAGAGATCGAGACCATCCTGGTCAACATGGTGAAACCCCGTCTCTACTAAAAATACAAAAAATTAGCTGGGCATGGTGGCGCATGCCTGTAATCCCGGCTACTCAGGAGGCTGAGGCAGGAGAATTGCCTGAACCCAGGAGGCGGAGGTTGCGGTGAGCCGAGATCGCGCCATTGCACTCCAGCCTGGGTAATACGAGTGAAACTCCGTCCCAAAAATAAATAAATAAATAAAAATAAATAAATAAAAAATCAGCTGGATGTGGTGACACTTGCTTGTAATCCTAGCTACTCGAGAGGCAGGAGGATCACTGGTGGCCAGGAGGTCGTCGTTGCAGTGAGCTATGATCACGCTACTGCACCCCAGCCTGGGCAACAAAATGAGACCCTGCCAAAAAAAAAAAAACAACAAACAAACGAAAAGACCCAAAGGAGGTGAGGGGGAGCCATGGTGAGAAACTCGGTCCAGGCAGAGGGAACAGCAAGTGCAAAGACTCTGAGGTGGCACCGGATTGTTGAGTTTGAGAAAGGGCACACTTGGCTGGATGCAGTGGCTCACACCTGTAATCCCGGCACATTGGGAAGCTGAGGAAGGCAGATCACCTGAGGTCAGGAGTTCGAAACCAGCCTGGCCAACATGGCAAAAACCCTTTTCTACTAAACATACCAAAATTAGCCAAATGTGGTGGTTTACACCTGTAATCCCAGCTACTCCAGAGGCTGAGTCAGGAGAATCACTTGAACCTGGGAGGCAGATGTTGCACTGAGCTGAGATTGCACCACTGCACTCCAGCCTGGGCAACAAAGTGAAACTCCATCTCTACGTATATACACTATATACACGGCCGGGCATGGTGGCTCACGCCTATAATCCCAGCACTCTGGAAGGCCAAGGTGGGCAGATCACGAGGTCAGGAGATTGAGACCATCCTGGACAAATGATGAAACCCCATCACTACTAAAATACAAAAAAATTAACTGGGCTTGGTAGCATGCACCTGTAGTCCCAGCTTCTCAGGAGGGCAAGGCAGGAGAATCACTGGATGTCTCTAGGAGTATATCTCTAATAAAAATACAAAAATTAGCCGGGCATGGTGGCGGGCACCTGTAATCCCAGCTACTCGGGAGGCTGAGATAGGAGAATTACTCTAATCCAGAAGCTGGAGGTTGCAGTGAGCACTCCAGCCTGGGCGACAAGAGTGAAACTTTGTCTAAAAATAAATAAATAAATAAATAAATAAAATAAAAATAAATTGGCTAGGTATGGTGGCTCACGCCTGAAATCCCAGCATGTTGGAAGGCCAAGGAAGGTGGATCACCTAAGGCCAGGAGTTCCAGACCAGCCTTGCCAACATGGCGAAACTCCATCTCTACTAAAACCACAAAATTAGCTGGGCATGGTGGCAGAAGCCTGTAGTCCCAGCTCCTCAGGGGGCTGAGGCAGGAGAATCACTTGAACCCGGGAGGTGGATGTTGCAGTGAGCCAAGATTGCACCACTGAACTCCAGCAACGGCTACAGAGTGAGATTTTATCTCAAAAAAAAAAAAAAATCATGCCAATCCCAGCACTTTGGGAGGCTGAGGCTTGGGGATCACGAGGTCAAGAGATCGAGACCATCCTGGCCAAGATGGTGAAACCCCATCTCTACTAAAAACACAAAAATTAGCTGGGTGTGGTGACATGCACCTGTAGTCCTAGCTACTTGGGATGCTGAGGCAGGAGAATTGCTTGAACCTGGGAGGCAGAGGTTACAGTGAGCCGAGATCGCGCCACTGCACTCCAGCCTGGTGACAAAGTGAGACTCCATCTCAAAAAAAAGAATGCTATCAATGAATCAATAAATTAATAAATTAATGAAAGAGAAAGGGGTCGGCTGAGCGCAGTGGCTTACACCTGTAATCCCAACATTTTGAGAGGCCAAGGCAGGGGAATCACAAGGTCAGCAGTTTGAGACCAGCCTGACCAGCATGGCGATACCCCTGTCTCTACTAAAAATACAAAAATTAGCCAGGTGTAGTGATGCATGTCTGTAATCCCAGCTTCTCAGGAGGCTGAGGCAGGAGAATGGCTTGAATCTGGGAGGTGGAGGTTGCAGTGAGCCTAGATTTTGCCAATGCACTCCAGCCTGGGTGACACAGCAAGACTCTGTCTCAAAAAAAAAAAAAAAAGAGAGAGAGAGAGAGAGAGAGAAAAGGGTCAATTGTGCTTTAAGGGGACTGAAAGGAGAGGGGAAAAACGGAAAGTCAGGGAGGTGACTGCCCCTTTTGTGCTTTCTCCTTCTTGGACCACACCCTCATTCAAATCTTTCTCTTACTTCCTCCAGAGAGCTGAATAGAGCCCCAGGGCTGGCCACTAGAGGCCACCCTCTCCATGGCTCACAGGGTCACTGCAATGTCGTCATGTAATTGCCTCTCACTGAGCCCCAGCTGTCCCTGAAACACCACTCTAAGCACTTTACATTAAGTTCAGCTCACTCCCATACATCTTTATGAGTCAGATATATTTAAACATTTTTCCTGGCTGGGTGAGGTGGTTCATGCCTGTAATCCCAGCATTTTGGAAGGCCAAGACGGGCAGATCACCTGAGGTCAGGAATTTGAGACCAGCCTGGCCGACACGGTGGAACCCTGTCTCTACTAAAAATACAAAAATTAGCTGGGCATGGTGGTGTGCACCAGTAATCCCAGCTACTCAGGAGACTGAGGCAGGAAAATAGCTTGAACCCGAGAGGTGGTGGTTGCAGTGAGCTCAGATTGGGCTACTGCATTGGGCAACAAGATTGAAACTCCATCTCAAAATAAATAAATTGTCCCTGGCTCGGTACAGTGGCTCATATCAGTAATCCCAGCACTTTGGGAAGCCGAGGAGGATAGCTTCAGCCCAGGAGTTCAAGACCAGCCTGAGCAACACAGGGAGACCCCGTCTCTAAAGAAAAATGTTTAAAATTAGCCAGGTGTGTAGGCCCAGCGCGGTGGCTCATGCCTATAATCCCAGCACTTTGGGAGGCTGAGGCAGGCTGATTATGAGATCAGGAGAGCAAGACCATCCTGACTAACATGGTGAAATCCCATCTCTACTAAAAATACAAAAAATTAGCCAAGCATGATGGTACGTGCCTGTAACCCCAGCTACTTGGGAGGCTGAGGTAGGAGAATTGCTTGAACCCGGGAGGCGGAGGTTTCGGTGAGCCAAGATCATGCCATTTCACTCCAGCCTGGGCAACAAGAGCAAAACTCCATCTCAAAAAAAAAAAAAAAATTAGCCAGGTGTGGTAGCACATGCCAGTATTCCTGGCAACTCAGGTGGCTGGGGCAGGAGACTTGCTTAAGCCTGGGCAGTTGAGACTGCAGTGAGCCGTGATTAGGCTCTACTAAAGATACAAAAATTAGCACCAGCGTGGCGGTTGGTGCCTGCAATCCCAGCTACTAGGGGGACTGAGGCAGGAGAATTGCTTCAACCGGGAGGTGGAGGTTGCAGTGAGCTGAGATCGAGCCACTACACTCCAGCCTAGGTGACAGACCGAGACTCCATCTTGGGAAAAAAAAAAAATACAAAGATTAGCTGGACATGGTGGCAGGCACCTGTAATCCCAGCTACTCGGGCGGCTGGGATTGACAGAGCAAGACCCTATCTCAACAACAATAAAAATCTGTTTGGGCCTTGTAAGTTTCGAGGAAAAAAAATAAAAAAGTAAAAATCAAATAAAATATTTTCCTGTAGGCTCAGGTACTTGGGAGGCTGAGGCAGGAGGATCACTTGAGCTAAGGAGTTTCAGGCCAGCCTGGGCAACATAGAGAGACCCTGTCTCTATAAAAAGTTAATTGACTAATTTTTAAAATAAAGGGTTTTTGTTTTTTTTTTACAGCCTTATTGAGGTATAGACATAAAAAATGCACATTTTAAGCATACAGTCTGACGAGTTTTCACACCTATGAAGCCACTATTACAGTCAAGGTACAGAATTTATCCACAGCTCCAAAAAATTTCCTTCTGCCTGAGGTGGTGGCTCATGCCTGTAATCCCAGCATTTTGAGAGGCTGAGGCGGGAGGAACTCATGAAGCCAGGAGTTTGAGACCAGATTGGACAACACAGCAAGACTCCGTATCAACAAAAAAATTTTTTTTATTTAACCAGGCGTGGTGGCTCCCGTGTGTGATCCCAGTTACTCTGGAGGCTGAGGCTGGATGATCGGAGTTGGAGGCTGCAGTGAGCTATACAGTATCACTGCACTGAAGTCTGACAACAGAGCCAGATCCTGAAAAAACAAAACAGACACTGAAAAAAACTTTCCTGGCGCACTTTAGTCATCCCTCCCTCCCGTGCTTGCCCACTCTCACCACCCAGCAACCAACCACTGGTCTGGTTTAGGTTACTATAGAAAAGGTTGCATATTTGGAGTTTTTTTTATAAATGGGACCATAGGGTATACATGGTTTTTCTTTTTGGAGGCGGGAAGTCTGGATTTTTTTCCCTGAGCATAATTCACATGATTCCTCTATGTTGTTGCGTGTATTCCAGACCTATTTTGCACATGAGGAAACTGAGGCATAGAGAGGCGTGGCTTGCCCCGGAGGTCACACTGGTCTATCTGGTCCCAGGTGAGGGCCGGTTCTGGGTCCGCAGCCCGCGCACGTGCGCTAGGGTGGCGGGGCGGGCGTGGCAGGTGCGCAGTCAGTCACACCTGGGCGCCTGCCAGGAGGTCAATCCTGGGCCCTGGCGGGCAGGACTAGGGGCGGGGCCAGGGGAGGGTGTTCCCCGTCTCTGCGGCCTCCGATAAGGACCTGCAGGGGCTGTCACGCGCCTGGCAGTGTGATAAGGAGGGCATGGGGAGGCCGCGGGGAGGTGTCCGGGTTTGAGGTCCCCTCCTGGTGACCTAGGATCCGGGCTAGAAACGCGTCTGGGGCGGGGAGAGGGCGGGGAGGGGCGGGGAGAGGGCGGGGCGGGGCGGGACATCGGGCCTGGCCACGCCCACCGTCATCCGGGGTCCTGGGCCGCTAAGATGGCGTTGGCTACGGCAGCTGCAGTGGCAGCTGCTGCCGGGCCCGGGAACTTGGGGACGGGGGCCGAGTAGCGCCTTCCCCGGGCCCCGTGAACCGGCCGCGGGGCACCTGGCGGGGCAGCGTCCGCAGCTCCCCACCTGGGCCCTCGGTCTGCCCTCCCGGCGCGTCCATGAACTCGGTGTCGCCGGCCGCCGCGCAGTACCGGAGCAGCAGCCCGGAGGACGCGCGCCGCCGGCCGGAGGCCCGCAGGCCGCGGGGTTCCCGAGGCCCAGACCCCAACGGCCTGGGGCCCTCCGGAGCCAGCGGCCCAGCTCTTGGCTCTCCCGGGGCTGGCTCGAGTGAGCCGGACGAAGTGGACAAGTTCAAAGCCAAGTTCCTGACAGCCTGGAACAACGTGAAGTATGGTGAGGAGGGGGCTTGGAGATCTTGGGAGTGTGGGGGGCCGTCGAGGAAAACCAGACCTCGGCTCTGCCAGGCCCTGACCCCGGCCCTGTCAGACCTTGTTCCCGTCCTGAGTCACCTGTGGGTCCCCCGCCCTGCCCGGCCCGGGGTGGACCTGTGGCAGGTCCCATAGGCAGTGTTTTCAAGCTCCGCCCATTCCCCTGTCTGACCTTGGGCAAAATCCTTTGCTTCCTGGCGCCTCTGTTTTTACTCCTCTCTGTAAAATGGGTACAATAATCAGAGCTGCCTTCCTTCAACCTGAATTGATGGTGGACACTCCTGTAGCTGTCACCGGGGGCCCCACCTCCGACTGAGAGGGCTATTGCACGAAGTCCCCAGAGCCACCTCGGAGATAGGAACTAGGATCGTGCCCATTTCACAGATGGGGGAATGGAATAGCTGTTGCTGTCATGCGAGTGCTTCATCTCGCTGGGCGCTGCCCCCACGTCTCCCCAGGTTGGGCAGTTAAAAGCCGGACCAGCTTTAGCAAGATCTCCAGCATCCACCTCTGTGGCCGCCGCTACCGTTTCGAGGGCGAGGGTGAGCTGGTGGTTGGGACCAGGGTTGGGGGAGACCTCTCTATGCCTGCCCCAGTGTCACTGGTGGCAGCTGACAGACCCACTCTTGTAGGTGATATCCAGCGTTTCCAGCGTGACTTTGTGTCCCGCCTGTGGCTCACATACCGCCGGGACTTCCCGCCCCTTCCTGGGGGCTGCCTGACCTCGGACTGTGGCTGGGGGTGCATGTTACGCAGCGGCCAGATGATGCTGGCACAGGGCCTACTGCTGCATTTCCTGCCTAGAGGTGAGCCCCGGGGATGGGAGTGGGGGAAGGGGTGGACTAGGAGTACAGGGTCAATCGCCGTATCAGCAGTATTAGAATTACTTGCAAACTACTAAGAATTCAAAGTCACGTTGGAATTGTGTGTCAAGTAAATTTTGGAGAGATGAGAGTTGTTTGTAAGAGTTTCAGCCAGGGCTGGGTGTGGTGGCTCATGCCTGTTATCGTAGCACTTTGGGAGGCCTAGGCAGGTGGATCCCTTGGGGTCAGGAGTTCAAGACCAGCCTGGCCAATATGATGAAACCCCATCTGTACTAAAAATACAAAAATTAGCTGGGTGTGGTGGTACATGCCTGTAACACAGCTACTCTGGAGGCTGAGGCAGGAGAATCGCTTGAACCCAGGAGTTGGAGGTTGCAGTGAGCTGAGATCACACTACTGTACTCCAGCCTGGGCAACAGAGTAAGACTTTGTGTCCAGAAATTAAAAATAAAAAAATAGGTTGGGTGCCATGGCTCACGCCTGTAATCCCAGCACTTTGGGAGGCTGAGGTGAGTGGATCACGAGGTCAAGAGATCAAGACAATCCTGGTCAACATGGTGAAACCCCATCTCTACTAAAAAAATTACAAAAATTAGCTGGGCATGGTAGCGTGCACCTGTAGTCCTAGCTACTCGGGAGGCTGAGGCAGGAAAATTGCTTGAACCCGGGAGGCAGAGGTTGCAGTGAGCCGAGATTGCGCCACTGCACTCCAGCCTGGCACCTGGCGACTAAGCGAGAGTCTGTCTCTAAATAAATTAATAAGTAAATTAATTAATTAATTAAAAAGAGTTTTGGCTGGGCCCTGTGGTACATGCTTGTAATCCCAGCTACCTTGGAGGCTGAGGAGGGAGAATCACTTGTGCCCAGATGTTCAAGCCTACAGTGAACTATGATCCTGCCACTGCACTCCAATCTGGGTGACAGAATGAGACTCCAGCAACATCCACAGGTCAAGTGTGGTGGCTCACACCTATAACCCCAGCACATTGGGAGGCTGAGGCAGGAGGATGTTTTGAACTTAGGCATTTGGCACCAGCCTGGGCAACACGATGAGACTCCTGTCTCTACAAAGAAATTTTTAAAAATTAGCCGAGTGTGGTGGCATGTGCCTGTGATTCCAACTACTCAAGAGGCTGAGGCAGGAGAATCTGTTAAGCCCAGGATTTAGAGGCTGTGGTGAGGCGTGATCATGCCACTGCATTCCAGTCTGGCTGACAGTGACATCTTGTCTTTATTTATGTATTTATTATTATTATTGTTTTTGAGACCAAGTCTTGCTCCATTGTCCAGGCTGAAGTGCAGTAGAGCATTCTCGGTTCACTGCAACCCCTGCTCCTGGTTCAAGCAATTTTCTTGCCTCAGCCTCCTGAGTAGCTAAGATTTCAGGTGCCTGCCACTATGCCTGTCTGCTTTTGTATTTTTGTTTTATTAGAGATGGGGTTTCACCACATTGGCCAGGCGGTCTCAATCTCCTGACTTCATGATCCCCACCCCCACTCCCCTGCCTAAGCCTCCCAAAGTGCTGGGATTATAGGCTTGAGCCACCACGTCCAGTGGAGATCCTGTCTTTAAGTAACAAAAAGTAAATAAATAAATAAGGATAAGTTTCAGGAGTATGCAAATTCTGTTGAATCACCAGGTTCAGGGGCATTAGCATTGTATGTGGTACATGTGTAGATGGGACCTCTGCCCCCCACACACTAGCACTGTTTGACTGTGTGCTCCATTCCACCAGACTGGACATGGGCCGAGGGCACAGGCCTGGGCCCCCCTCAACTGTCAGGGCCAGCCTCTCCCAGCCAGTACCATGGCCCTACCCGCTGGATGCCCCCATGCTGGGCCCAGGGTGCCCCTGAGCTGGAGCAGGAACGCCGGCACCGGCAGATTGTGTCCTGGTTCGCCGACCACCCCCAGGCCCCATTTGGCCTACACCGGCTGGTGGAGCTGGGGCAGAGTTCAGGCAAGAAGGCAGGTGACTGGTATGGGCCATCGCTGGTGGCACACATCCTCAGGTAAGGGCCGCTGCAGGGATCACGGGAGCTGCTGGGTACCCACAGGCACTAAGGCCTTCCCTCCTGTCCCCAGGAAAGCCGTGGAGAGCTCCTCCGAGGTCACCCGCCTGGTGGTGTATGTTTCTCAGGACTGCACAGGTAAGGGGCTGGGAGCCGAGATCATGGGGGTCCCACCCTGAGCCAGACTCTGCCTCACCTGCCTCTTAGAATGCACCTTCCTCAGAGGCTAGAACAAATTCTGGGGCAGAGGGACACTGGGGAAGGGTGCAAGTCCTGTGTAGTGGGAAACAGTCCCTCTTCTCCTTCTCTCCCTCTGGAACTGGGAGAAGAAACATCAGGGTGATAGTGCCACCACACCTTGAGTGATAGAATAGAGGCCAGGTGTGGTGGCACATACTGTATAGTCCCAGCTACTCAGGAGGCTGAGGTGGGAGGATTGCTTGATGAAGCCTGGGAGTTCGAGGTTACAGTGAGCTGTGATTTTGCCACTGTACAGCAGCCTGGGTGACAGAGTAGGATCCTATCTTAAAAAAATAAAATAAAAAAGAGGCCAGGTGCGGTGGCTCATGCCTGTAATTCCAGTACTTTGGGAGGCCGAGGCAGGTGGATCACCTGAGGTCAGGTCACTGTCACTCAGACTGGAGTGCAGTGGCATGATCTCGGCTTATTGCAACGTCTGCCCCCAGGTTCAGGTGATTCTTGTGTCTCAGCCTCCCAAAGTGCTGTGATTACAGGCATGAGCCACTGTGCCCAACCCCTGTAAATTTTTTATGCAAAATTGTAGGTGTTTGGGACAAGATTTGATTTTCAGAGAATCACATCTCCAAAACAGGTCTACTTCTCTAGGAATACGAAATGGGCTTATGTAGCTGCAAGGTAGCGGGAGGAGAATGGGGCCAAGTAAATGGGACTGGAGGAGGAGGGACACACCCGGGGTGTTTGGTTCAAGGGCCGAGCGCCCAGTGCTTCTGTTTCTGTATTGGCAAACCAAGGCATGGAGTCACTGAGGACCCCTCAGGCCTGGGGCTGGGGAGGAGCCTGAGAGAACAGTCTCCACCTCTCCCGGCTGTGTATACTTTTGGTCTACATCTCAGGGCCTCAGTTGCCCACTCTGTAAAATGGGGATGTCCACACCTGCCTGGAGGTCCTGGGATTTTCTGGGGGTGTCTGAAGGACACTAGAACAATGTTTTTGGCTGGTGACGTGCTGCCCACTGAGAAATTGCAAGGTTGAGGTTGGGCTCCTGGGGTTAGAGGCCTACACTCTGGGGCTTGAAGGGTTGCCAAGAAGGTGACCTGCCGCTGTCTTGTCCCTCCAGTGTACAAGGCAGATGTGGCACGCCTGGTGGCCAGGCCAGACCCCACAGCCGAGTGGAAGTCTGTGGTCATCCTGGTGCCCGTGCGACTGGGTGGCGAGACTCTCAACCCCGTGTATGTGCCCTGCGTGAAGGTAGGTTCAGCCAAGTTCCAGGACGCCTCCACCTGGGAGCCCTCCAGACTTGTTTAGCTTGGGTTAGGGCTGCTGTTTGTGTCCCTCATCCCTTCTTTTTTTTTGAGACGGAGTTTCACTCTTGTTGCCCAGGCTTGAGTGCAGTGGCGCAATCTCAGCTTATTGCAACCTCTGCCTCCCAGATTCAAGCGATTCTCCTGCCTCAGCCTCCCAAGTAGCTGGGACTACCATGCCCAGCTAATTTCTGCTACCATGCCCAGCTAATTTTTGTATTTTACATAGAGACGGGTTTCGTCATGTTGGCCAGGCTGGTCTCGAACTTCTGACTGCAGGTGATCCACTTGCCTCAGCCTCCCAAGCTGGGATTACAGGCGTGAGCTACCAGCCCCCGCCCCCTTTTTTTTTTGTTTTTTTTTTGGAGACAGAGTTTCACTCTTGTTGCCCAGGCTGGAGTGCAGTATCATGATCTCAGCTCACTGCAACCTCTGCCTCCTGGGTTCAAGTGCTTCTCCTGCCTCAGCCTCCTAAGCAGTTGGGATTATAGGCATGCGCCACCATGCCTGGCTAATTTTGTATTTTTAGTAGAGATCAGGTTTCTCCATGTTGGTCAGGCTGGTCTTGAACTCCTGACCTCAGGTGATCCGCCTGCCTGGGCCTCCCAAATGATGAGGGTAGCAGGAGAGCCTAGAAAAGGCCCTCTGCAGCCACCAGGCAAATGAGGAGCCAGAGGAGGAGTGCTCCAGGCAAAAGGAACAGCAAGACAGAGGCCCTGAGGCTGGAAAGGCCCCTATGTATTTGCATCAGAATAAAAGCCAAAGTGTCCCCAGGGCCCACAGAGCCCCACACTGTTTGTCCCAATCACCTTCTGGAGGTCATCTCCCGCCTTGACCTCATATCCTCCTCCCACACACTTGCTGCAGCCACAGGGGCCTCCGCCCTGATTTCAGGACACTCCTGCCCCAGGGCCTTTGTGCTTCCGGCTGCTGCTGCTTGGAGCGCTCCTTCAGCGGTAATGCTGCTTGGAGCGCTCCTTCAGTGGTAATGCGTGTGGCTCCTGAGTAGCTGGGACTACAGGTGCAGGCACCACCACAGTCAGCTCTATTTATTTAAAAATTTGTCATTTTACTAACACTAACCATCAAAAGAAATCCTTCAGTTATTTCCATCATCTCTCAATAGGGCCTATCCTGACTCTCTTATTTATTTATGATTGATCAATTCAGAGTCTCACTCTGTTACTAAGGCTGGAGTGCAGTGGTGTGGTCTCAGCTCACTGCAGCCTCAACCTCCCGGCCTCAAATGATCCTCTCGCCTCAGCCTCCTGAATATCTGGGACTACAGGCACACTCACTACCACACACAGCTTTTTTTTTTTTTTGGAGAGACAGGGTCTCACTATGTTACCCAGGCTGGTCTTGAACTCCTGGGCTCAAGCGATCCTCCCACTTTGGCCTCCCAAAGTACTGAGATTAGAGACATGAGCCACTGTTTGGCCTCTGTTTTAAAACATTTTTTGCATTGGGAGGTTTTCCAGTGAGAATCAGAAAACCTATGAGACAAATTCTAAAGGAGCTGTAATGTTTGACCTCCTTACTTAAAGTCACAAGGTTCCTTTCCCTCTCCTTTATTCTTTTCCATAAAGTTATCACCTCTAACACATGAGATAAATCCTGTAATCAGCTCCGCCTGTAATCCCAGCACTTTGGGAGGCTGAGTTTGATACCAGCCTGACCAACATGGTGAAACCTCGTCCCTACTAAAAATACAAAATTTAGCCAGGCGTGGTGGTGGGCACTTGTAATCCCAGATATTCAGGAGGCTGAGGCAAGAGAATCACTTGAACCCGGGAGGCAGAGGTTGCGGTTGCGATGAGCCGTGATCACGCCACTGCACTCCAGCCTGTGTGACAGAGTGAGACTCCATCTCGAAAAAAAAAAAAAAGAAAAAAAAACAACCATGTAATCATCTTCCTTGTAAAAAAAATAATCATCTCCCACACTAGGATGTCAACTCCTGAGGGCAGGGGTTTTGTGGTTTTGATCACTGCTGCCCTCCAGGGGCTGGGTTCTCACCGAGGAGGCGTTTGTTGAGTGGCTGCCTCACAGCACCTGCGCACCCTCCTCCCTGCAGGAACTCCTACGTTGTGAGCTGTGCCTGGGTATCATGGGCGGGAAACCGCGGCACTCGCTGTACTTCATTGGCTACCAAGGTAGGCCCGACCCCTCCTCAATCCCCAACCCTCACCCCATCCCCACTCACACCTGCGCCCCTGCAGATGACTTCCTGCTGTACCTGGACCCTCACTACTGCCAGCCCACTGTGGACGTCAGCCAGGCCAACTTTCCACTGGAGGTGAGTGGGAGCCCCAGCGTGTGGTTGGGACCATGGTGGGTGGGCAGCCAGGGCCTCTGAGCCTCCCTCATCTGTCTGCCCCAGTCCTTCCACTGCACCTCGCCCCGCAAGATGGCCTTCGCCAAGATGGACCCAAGCTGTACTGTGGGCTTCTACGCTGGAGACAGGAAGGAGTTTGAGACACTTTGCTCAGAGTTGACCAGGGTGAGCAAGAGGAAAGCTGGAGGGGAGGGGAGGGGAGGGTGGGCAGGCAGGGCTGGGGGTGAAACAGGAACAGAGGCCTGGAGTCCAGTAGAACTGGGGTGCTGCTTCCAGGCTGGGTGTCCTAATCTGGGAAATGTGAAGAACGTCCACCCCTGAAAATGTGAGGGGAGGCCAAGGCCACCTGTCAGGTCAACTTGCTGTCCTGCAAGTTGAGGGTGTCATGCCTTATCCAGGTGGTCAGGTGTGGAGAACTAGGGCAAAAGATGGCCACCAGCCCTTCTAGGCACCCACTCTCTAGTCACTGGAAGGGGAATTCCATTTTTGCAGCAAAAATCCCAGTGTTGTTTGGCTGAGTGGCTGAGCTGAGTCACATGCTTCTGGTTGAGCCACCTGTGGCCAGGGGATGGAAGGTGCTGACTGGCTGGCCTGCCCTGGAGAGGCAGTCCTGAGAAGCACCTGCTAATAAGTAAACCAGGGCTAAGGAATATGACTTGGCACTGTTTGTGGCTGAGCGTCCCCCTCCTCCCGCCAGGTCCTCAGCTCCTCCTCGGCCACGGAGCGGTACCCCATGTTCACTCTGGCCGAGGGCCACGCTCAGGACCACAGCCTGGATGACCTCTGCTCCCAGCTCTCCCAGCCCACACTCCGGCTCCCTCGCACAGGGCGGCTCCTCAGAGCCAAACGGCCCAGCTCCGAGGACTTTGTGTTTTTATAAAGGGAGGGGATGGGGGAAAAGATGCAACACTATTTATTTTTTTATTTATGTCATGTCAGGATCTTGAGCTCCGGCAACGATGGTACTTCCTGTTCTCACCCCCTAAACAAGCCCATCTGTGAACAGTCAGGGACAGAGCCCATGCACCTGTCTCCCACCAGTGGGGCCCTCCTGGCAGGGCAGGGAGGACCCCGGGCACCCCCTCAGGGCCTGACTCAAGTACTGTAGTTTGCACTGGACGCCCGGGCCCTCTCTGTCCCAAAGCCACCGTAGGGAAACTGGCTGCTGGGGGCCAATAAAGCTGTGTGACTAGCTCATGGCTGTGGCTGGGCGCAGCATTCTGAGAGGATGTGAGGTCTGGGAAGTATCTCGAGGAGAGAGTTCCAAGTCACTTGAGAAGTTTAAGTCAGCCTCAGTTTCCACATCCATAAAATGGGACAACTTCCTTATCCACAGCTACACGTGCTTCTTTAAGAGACAGGGTCTGTCTTTGTTGCCCAGGCTGGAGTGCAATGGTGCAATCATACAGCTCACTGCAGCCTCAAACTCCTGGCCTCAAGTGATCCTCCTTCCCCAGCCTCCTGAGTAGCTAGGACTACAGGCACGTGCCACCATTTTGCAGAGTTGTAGAGATGGAGTCTCGATATGTTGCCCAGGCTTGTCTCGAATTCCTGGGCTCAAGTGACCCTTTCACCTTGGCCTTCTAAAGTGCTGGGATTACAGGCGTGAGCTGCGTGCCTGGCCATAGATGTGAGGTTCTCTATAGCAGATAGTACTTGTGGGTGTGAGACCTGTCCAGGGCTTGAGTGGAGGGGAGGAGCCAGAGACCCCTGCCTGATCCCTGGGGCTCAGGAGCTGCTCTTGGGCCCCTGCTGTTTCCTCCGCTGCCGGCCCAGCTGGCGGAAGTGCAGCCGTTTGGGGTTGAGGCCAAAGGCCTGCAGTCTCTGGCGGCTGAACTCGCATCCACCAAGCGTCACAGTGGGGCGCAGCAGCCGTGCCTTCTTGGCCCTCCTCCGCCTCTGCAGGGCAGGCTTCTCTGGAGGTAACACAGGGGCCTTCTCTTCCTGTGCTGGGAGACTCTCTGGCTGGGGCCGCTTCCCACCAGCCCCATCAAGTGCTGGCAGCTGCTTCTGTGGGCCGGCTTCGTCTCTCTGTGGCTTCCCTGTGGCTTCCGCGGGCGTCTCTGTCCTGAAAGAGAAAAGTCAGGGCTCAGCCCAGGCCTGTCAAGATCAGGCTCATTCCTGAGCATGCGTGCCCCATTTTACAGGTGGGGAAAGGAGGGGCATAGTGAAGCGGCCACACAGTGACCGAGGGCCTGTTTGGGATTCAGACCTGGGTCTCATGCCAAAGCCAGTCTGGGGCTTTTCTGCTGAACCCAAAGACTAGATTGTGAGGCTGGGCCTGCCCTAAGCTATTCACATCAGTTAACTTATTTTAGCATTTTTTTTTTTTTTTGCGCTTAGAGGCAGGGTCTTGCTTTTTCACCCAGGCTGGAGTGCGGTGGTGTGATCACAGCTCACGGCAGCCTCCAGCTCCTGGGCTCAAGCGATCTTTTCGCCTGAGTCTTCCAAAGTGCTGGGATTAGACGCTGGAGCACGCACAGGGCCTCTTTTTAGCTTTAAGTAACTATCACCCCTCCCTTATAGACTGGGCGAAAACAATCCTAATAATAACAGCTGAGACCTATCAGGCATTTACCACCTCTTCATCACTTTACATGAATTAACTCACCTCATCCTCAGCAACCTTATGAGGCAGAACCGTCTCTATCTCCATCTTATGAGAAGCAGACCCAGAGAGGGGCAGCGATTTGCCCAAGGTCACAGCAATGGCACCCAGGATTAGAACCCAGGTCTCAAGGGAAGGGGATGGGAGGAGAGGTGGGGAGAGGCGCTGTATTCCCAAAGTCATGCAACAAGAGGCTGACAGAGCCAAGACTCAAGCCTGGGCCTGGCGGGCTCCCGACCCACACTTCCCCAGCCAGCACTGCTTACTCTTCCCGGCAGAGTGACTTGAAGATCTGCTGCTTTTTCCATGAGTTCTGGGCCTTCTGGCTGTATGCCCGCTTGTCCCGCAGCTCCTCTTGCTCCGACCTGCACGCAGACAGAGGGGCCTGTTGTTGGGTGCTCTGGGAAGTGCCCGGGACTGCCCGCCCCTGCACACTTGGCCCCGCCCCACTGCGTCACCTGTACATGCAGGTCTTCTTCAGAGAGCACCACCGGTTGAGCTCCTTATCATCAGCAGCGAGGATCTGCATGGGAAGGGAGGGTGGGGACCTGCTGTGATATTCCCCATGGGGGGCCCGACTCTTCTGTGAGCCTGAGTCACCTCATTAGTCAAAACGGTAATGCTGCTTGCTACCACCAAGCAGGGCTGCCATCATGGCCAGAGACTGATTTCTACAGAGGCCAATATTTTTTGCAGAGGTCAGAAGATGGGGAAACTGAGGCTCAGAGAATGGATCTTTGCCCTAGGCCATATGGCTAGGAAGCTGGCTGAATTGATTTCAGTTTGAGCCCCAGAGCTCTTGAGTTGTCCCCATTCCCAGTTATCCCCAAAGCCTCAAAACAGGCAGGGGTTGCTCCCAACCACCAGACTTCCTAATTACACATGACGCTCTCATTCCCAGTCTCTGGGCCTCAGTTTCCAAACCTACTGGAAGGCCATCAGAAAGGAGAAGTGAGTGAGTGCTGATGGTATCGGCTTAGTACACACTGGCTATTTTTACTGACCATGCAAACAGTCGCGCATCTTCAGCCATAAGTGGGGAAGAGTAGGTGCCCACAGCCTGCCATGCGCCACACACATTTGATCTTATACCTGTTTCTTCCAAGTCACCGAAGTTGGGGTGTTATCAATTATTGTCCCATTTTACAGATGGGGTAATCACAGCTGGCAAATAGCCAAGCCAGGGCTTGAACCCACCTGGGCCCCCTAGTTCCAGAGGATATCAAGCCTTTTTTTGAGACAGGGTCTCACTCTTGCCCAGGCTGGAGTGCAGTGGCATGCTCACAGCAGCCTCAACCTCCTGGACTCAAGCAACCCTCCTGCCTCAGCCTCCCAAGTAACTAGAGCTATATCTCCTTATGTTGCCCAGGCTAGTCTCAGAACTCCTGAGCTCAAGTGATCCTCCTGCCTCAGCCTCCCAGAGTACTGGGATTACAGGTGTGAGCCAGTGTGCCCAGTCCTGCTACCAAGTCTTAGCAGCCAGACTGCTGCTGATACATATTGACAGAATTAAAAGCATAATATTGGCTGGGCACGCTGTCTCACATCTGTAATCCCAGTACTTTGTGGGGCTGAGGAGGGCAGATCACACGAGGCCAGGAATTCCAGATCAGCCTGGCCAACATAGTGAAACCTTGCCTCTACTAAAAATATAAAAATTGGGCATGATGGCACATGCCTGTAGTCCCAGCTACTTGAGAGGCTGAGGCAGGAGAGTCATTTGAACCTTGTAGGCAGAGTTTGCAGTGAGCCGTGATCACACCACTGCATGCCAGCCTATGCAACAGAGGAAGACTCCGTCTCAATCAATCAAAAAATAAAAAGCAAAAAGTAATACTGGCTAGGTGCATGTCTCTCACACCCATTACCCCAGCACTCTGGGAAGCCAAAACAGGAAGACTGTTTAAGCCCAGGGAGTTTGAGAGCAGCCTGCATAACATAGTAAAACATTGTCCCTGGCCCGGCGCGGTGGCTCAAGCCTGTAATCCCAGCACTTTGGGAGGCCGAGGTGGGTGGATCACGAGGCCAAGAGATCGAGACCATCCTGGTCAACATGGTGAAACCCCGTCTCTACTAAAAATACAAAAAATTAGCTGGGCATGGTGGTGCGTGCCTGTAATCCCAGCTACTCAGGAGGCTGAAGCAGGGGAATTGCCTGAACCCAGGAGGCGGAGGTTGTGGTGAGCCAAGATCGCGCCATTGCACTCCAGCCTGGGTAACAAGAGCGAAACTCCG